AATGTGAACTTCAGAATCTGAAGAACTGCATCTCAAAGGAAGGACAGCACAGCTGGGCCTCCCCGTAGTAGTTGGAGAACAAAAAAGGTAGAAAAGTAGTGTTGTGGGTTGATGCTGGTGAGCAGCCGAGCACCCATGCAGCCGTTTGCTTGCCTCCTCCCCTTCCCTGGGTTTGCATAGTTTTAAATAAAACAATATAGTACTTCAGAATCAATAGCTTTTGTACTGGCTTTTCCAATATAATTGCAAATACCCAACAGATATGTTGTTGGTGATAAACTCCTAATAAACCTTTTAAAACAACTAGGTTCACTTTGCTTCCTCTGGCTCTACTGAATTAGGATACTTGGTATGGAGCAGTTGAATTTATAACATGGTTTTAAAGCTTATTCATAGCTTTTAACCTGTACAGAAAGAAAAGACATCAGAGGCTGGAAAGAGATTATGGCAATCACTGCAAGTGTGAAGACAGGTGATGAATACAGGCTCCTCCTGAAGTTCCCAATACCGAGTGCTGATTAATAGAGTGCTTGTTTTCAGTTTGCCTCAGGTTAGGTCATTCCAAAAAACAACTGTTAATAGAGATTTCTTGTGGTTATGCGAGATCAGCTCCAACAGTAATAAGGAAGAACAAGCGCTGATGAAAAGTCGGAGTCGATGCAACTCCCTTCCGTTGCGGGAAGCTTGCCAGTGCTGGTCTGTACCTGTGTGAGGATGGCAGCACCATGTAACCAGTGTAACTCCTTGGTGCGTTGGGTATGCTCCTCTTCGGTTTGCACGTTAAAAGCCATTCTTTTAAAGGGAGTCTGTGTGGAATAATTTTGGTGTAACTCTATGGTACTATGTATGTACTGTCCGTAAATGGAAAAGACCTTGGAATAATTGTAGTTTTCCAGCTACTGCACTCTTCCCTCTTCGTTTGCATGTACTTCCAGCTGGGAAGCTTACAAATTGACCGCTGCTTCTTTTGATGTCGAACAATCATCCCCCTCTGCCTCCTGGCTCTGGTCACAGTGGGCAGTGTAGACTGTCTCCAAGATAAGAGGGGAGTGGATTTGAAATTGCGCTTTCATTAAAGAAATGTCGGTGTGTGGAAATGAGCAGCAATGAGCATTCCTTGTCAAAATGCCCTACAAGTAAATTTTCAAATATGTGAGAAAATGTTTATTTTAAACAAGCCATTAGGAAAGTTAAATTCAGGGAATTTAAATTCTTTCCATAATAGTATAAATGTTTGTTTTTCCAGTTTATAGTTTCCTAGTGTTGCCTCCATGAGAGCCAAATATGTGGCTTGTTCTCCTGGCGTTTCCATGATGGATTGCAAGGGCTGCCCAAGTATGCTTGCAGAGATGCATTGATTCATACTGGGAGTGCTGGAGTTCTGTATGTTCAGAAACTTACAGGTTGTTATTTAAGAACATTTTTTACAAGTTCAAGGCCCATTGGGGCTTGATGCAAGGGGTTTCATGAGGCCAGTGAACACTTGTCTGCATTGGTAGGGCTTTTTTGTTTGCTTTTTGGGTGGTTCTTGTAAATAGCTGCCAGTTGTATTCCAGGCCACAGAAAGTAAAGCTGTACCTAGAGTGTTTGCAGCAGTTCAGGCACAAGAGCATTTTTACTGTAAACTCGTGGATTTTTTTAGCCTTGGAATTATGCATTAATTTGAGATGGGATCACAGTCTAATAGCCTCCCAGACTAGCTTGCCTCTTGCTGTACTCAGGAATCCAAGTGCTAATTAGAACAGCTGTTAAAAGCCTGTTCCTAATTACTAGACCCTGTTAGAGGAAGGAGACCTCACTGGGTGCCCACAGCCTTTGTGGAACCTGGTCAGTGCTTGCAGGTGACCAGCAGCAGTACACGAACCGTGGTTTTGGAACCTGGCCTAATTTCTTGTATTCAGGACATCAAAGTCCTTGAGCCTGTCTTTGAAGAGCTAGCAGTGAGTAGTCAGACAAGAAATTCAAGATTTGAGGGGGAAAGAAAAAAACCAAAACCTGTGTCTGTAATTCGGTGTTCTGGGGCTCCTGGTGTGACCTACTTTCCAAGCTGTTTGCTGGGGAAGTTGAGCAGAGAGCTTTTGTTGTCGTTGCAGATACTGTTACTGCAGGTGCCACCAGATATAGGGCATGGTGGAAGATAGAGTTTCTGGTGGCCACAGTGTGAAGCAGGGTATGTTTCCATCGAGATGGGTGGGAGTTGGCCAAGGCAGGGATGAGCTCTGTTCTTTTTTTTGTTGATGAAAGCCTTTTAGTGTGGCGTTTCTGTGTAAGAGGAGTAATGGAGAAAATTACGAGCAAATGCTTTTATATGTTAGATTTATATTACCATGTTTGCTCACAGCTTACAATGGGATTTGAAGTCTTCTGTGTAACTTGTTTGAAATTAAGCCATACTGATTTAAGCTGTGTTATGTATATAAGTATAGATTGTGCTAAGAAGTAATTTGTAGTCTTGTTTGCTTTCGTCTTGGTACTGTTTTTCATACCTCCTACTTGGGTTAGACTGGTCTTGGTCAGTTGAGGTGATTTGGGTGATTTTACAGGGAATGCTGTAATGAACTGAAACACATACATTGCATACAGTAATCTGTTCCATAGATCTGTTTAGCTTTATTTGCAGGGAATGGAAGAGAAGTGTCAGGCTCCTGCAATTCAATAACTGTGTGCGAATAGATGGAATTATATCTACAGCTACTAAAAAGCCTAGAATACATGCATTTCTAATTCTGCAATACCACTTTGTTTAGGTAGTCTAATTCTAGTAGGAACAGCTCGGTTTAGAATTTTTTGTCAAATGTTTTCTTCCTCCATAGAGTTGAAATGCACAGTGCTGCAGTAAGAAAAATCAAAGAGCCAAGATGTTGGGATACACTGTGCTACTCATGGCTTTTTGTTTTGCAAGTAGCCATGTTGACTTTAATGTAGAGCAGCTCCTAGTGCGAAAGGCAGTAGAGGATGGGATTACAACGATTTTGTACCTGTGGTACTCGGGTTTCTCTGCTTCAGAATGCTAGTCTGTCTTTTGACTTAAATGCACTTACTGAGACTTTATGGTACTGTTGTCCTAGAAGTTGTTGCTGCTATTCTGGAGATTGTGGCTAGAAAACAACAAACCAGTGATCAGACTATTTTCTACTAGAATCCAAATTACTATATGTGGACCTATTTCTGCTGTAAAATTTGAAAAGTAGCTTTTTGCTAGTAGCTTTACTTTCCTGATCTGCCCTTTTTTGGGGTAGGGAGTGGAAGAGATCCATTTCTTCCAGGTCTCAATTTCTCTAAGTTGCATCTTCTGCTTGTAACTAGAAAGTACACATCTTTGGTTCATAATTGCCAAGTCATACACTAACAGTTTTGGCCAGCTTCTGATAACTTGTCTTTTGCTAAAGACTTCCTTACTCCTGGTAACCCACAGTAAAATAATCTTTGTCCTCTTGATGAATTCCAGGAGGCCTATCTGTTTTGCTATTCCTGATCAACTACAGTGTTGTTCTAGCTTAACCTAAAAAAAAATGAAGATATTGTCCGATATGAGTAGTCAGAAATCTGTTTTGTTAGATGCAATAAGAGAATGTGAATGTCAATGCACAACGCTGCATTTAGTGGCTTCAGGCAACTCAGCAATGCTTCAGCTCCTAAGATTCCTAATGCCTAGCTGAAAAGAGATACTGGGTACTGCTACTCAATTACTAAATTGGATCTTATGTTTAATTTATGATGGAGGTGAGGTTCACTGCCCACTCTCAGTATATTTTCACTTACACTTCTGTTCAGCTTCTCTGCACCTTAATCTCAATTGTTCTGCTTTAGGAGTACCTGAATAGAATTTAGTAAAAATGCTGTCAGTTTACCTTTCGTCTTTTCTTTTCCAGCGGGGATCTGACGAGCTTTTCTCTACTTGTGTTACTAACGGACCCTTTATCATGAGCAGCAACTCTTCTTCTGCAGGTAATATTGCCTATAAAAAAAGAATAGCCATTGATAAGTATTGCAAATACTATGAGGAGGTCTGTTTTTTCCCACTTGGTCTTAATTTTAAAATCTCTTCATTTTTAGTACTTATTAGGCCTTTTGTAGGACAGTGCTGAATAGTAATAAACTTCTACCCTATACCCTTAAAAGGTTAGCAGACAGAATAAAATTGTTGTAGGACAGTTGCTAAAATGATTTTACAGAATTAGAACATGCAGGTTTTGCTGTAAACTGTTGTACTTGAAGCACAATTGAATTTCATGTAGGGTTATTTTGGCTGTATGTAGTAGTTTGCTGCTATTTGGGAGTCTTACACCATCTAGAGGTTAGTAATCCCACCCAAAATAGTATCCTTGGGTGCTCAGTCTGGAATTTTGCCCTCTGTGCTTCTCGATGCCTTGAATTGTCTTTGAGCTACCGATGTCTTTTGAGTCCCTTCATGTTCTGCCTGTGGCCTCCCTGCCAGACTGTATCAGCTCATGTCTTTGGTGTTGTGCTGCTGATAGCCTTTACCATATGTGTAATCCAGCTGATCTAACATTACATTTTGGTTCGTATTTGTTTTAATATCACTTGCTTTAAGATGTCCCCTTCAAACTGCTTCATTGCCAAGAATACTAGTCAAAGTGAAAAGGAATAAAGCAGCAATCTAGAATTAGTGGCTCAGACCCACACAAAGGAGAAATGTGGGTGGGTGGGTGTGTACTGTAAACAAGCTGTAAAACAGCCACTGGAGAATTGATTCCATTGCAGTGGCATTCAGCTACGTCACTCGCATAGTGTAACTTCAAAAAAAAGAGAGTAAAACCATGTGTCTTCAGACTCTAGTTAAATTAGACTATGGAATTTCTGTGTAATATAGAATACTAACTGGATGGGGAGCACAAACTGTGTGTCAAAAGTGGTAAGGGTGTGCATATTCTTTCAAACCCACTATAATAAGCAGTAACTCTTGCTTTTTACAGCTAATGGAAACGACAGCAAAAAATTCAAAGGTGATAGTAGAAGTGCTGGGGTCCCATCCCGAGTAATCCACGTCCGTAAACTACCCAGTGACGTCACGGAGGCAGAGGTCATTTCTTTGGGCTTACCTTTTGGCAAGGTCACCAATCTTCTAATGTTGAAAGGAAAAAATCAGGTATTGTCTGTATAATTGAAAGCAGGGATTATGTCAAAGACTTGATGAGTTTGTCATCAGTAAACCAGATCCAAGTTGTTTAAACAACTGTCACGTATTAGGAGTCAATAACTTCTGCATACTATTATTTTACTTTTCCATGATTATCCCATGAGCTGTAGAAAATACTATTTTCAGACTGTACAAGGAGCTAAGTCCATAATTATAGGTTGTCACTTATAATTAGCATTATGCCTGGTTTTTAAATTACAGACCAGGTAAATTATTTGGACAGCAGTGACATCAGTTGGCCTTTTTCACTCAAGCCAGTTTGACAGTTGAGTAACCACCAGTGTAACTTTGCATGTTAAGGACACCTTTACAGATACAATAAATTAGCTGGGTAAAGCTAAAACACTCTTGGGTAATGCAGAAGGTGTGCGCTAATTGGGTAACTAAAATTGTCTTCCAAATTAAGGAGTAAAAAAGCAAGCCAACTTTAATCATTGTTTAAAATACCATGTCTTTAATCTTAATTATGAAAATGTGCCTCTGATATATTGCGTGGTGTGACTATATGTAAGTACTTAATGTAATGACTTGCTACAATCCCTTCCCTGTTTTGAAATACAGAAGACCATAAAGGTATGGAACAGTGAGTGGGCTTACTGCTCGGTAGAGGAGTATGGAAAGTTACTTAATATGATAAGTGTTAAGAGTCTGGATCACTGCTGTATTCTTGTGTTCTTGCAAACGCTTCTGTCACTGCCAGTTTCCTAAATATACGTAGCATCGAGATCTTAGGATGAGACTGAAACTTTACATATATTAAGTCAGTCTGGACAGCGAAGATGCTCATTTGTTCTACGTACCGGTGGTTCTCAAACAATTCTTTGTACAAAAACTTGAATGTAAATGCAGTTGTGAAAATCAAATACAGTTACAGGAACTGGAAGTTCCTCCTAAGGTTTATCAATTGCGTAATGCTGTTGTCAAGTGTTAATGCTGTCTCCTAGTGTGAGCTGCTTTGATAATATGTCAATGTTGGATTTGACTTCTGCGCAGGCTTTCATAGAAATGAATACGGAGGAGGCAGCCAACACCATGGTAAACTACTACACCACAGTCACTCCAGTCCTTCGAAGCCAGCCCATCTATATTCAGTTCTCCAACCACAAGGAGCTTAAGACGGACAACTCTCCAAACCAAGCAGTTAGTTTTTCTTTACGTTGTCATACTGGTGGGAGGGACAGACAGTTCTCTGCTACTGTTTTGATTTGTGCTGCTGCAGGTGTAGGCCTGGTAGGGTTTTGAGATTTGGTTTAACTATCAAAGTGCTAAACGGAGCATACTAGCTTCTAGCTTATGGAATAAGGACTCCTATAATAGCTTTTATCCAAAGTCTGGGCAGAGTGTTAAATGAGCTGCTAAAACTGCCTTAATGTCAGGGGAAGAAAATGCATAGAGAATATGAGATCATGAGAAGTGGTGTTTTAGCATTCTTTAGTTAGAAACAGTAACTGAATACCTATCTAAAGACTTGATTAATGTGTAGTGCTTTAGGACGTTTGTTTCTAGTATTTGAAAGATCTATATAAAACGAAGCTCTGATGGGGCAAAACTTGTCTTCAGTAGAGCACAATCGGGTAAGTGCTAGCTTTGAGGCAGACAGTGCTCGAACACAACAGTTCTTAAGGCTTTGGGCTGTCTTGAGTTTCTGTGCAAGATACGCTCTGCACAGGGTAAAAAGTTCCCTTTTTCAGCTCAACTGCTCTTGGCAATCTTTCAGGAGAGGAACACTGGAAAGAAGTTCAAGTTACTTGTGCCTCCTTATCAGGGATGGCTGCTGAGTACATCCAGTTTGCCTCCTCTCACTTTTCAGGCTGACTTTCATCAGGATCAGAGCATCTAATGCTGTGCAGATGAAAGGCTACTATTTGATGCATCTAACAAAGCCAGAATCTGATGCACAACAGTGAGCACATCGTAGTGTTGTATGTGTGAGGGGGACTCTACAGGAAAACTCCAAGTCAGTTTTCACTTCTGGATCCCTATAGCAGATGTGCATTAATCTTTCAGTCTTGTCAGCTTCTGTAGTATTCTGGAGATAGTGTTTCACCCCAGAAGAGCCTAGTTTTTCCTTTTTTCTAAACAATGGAATAATTTTGCTGCATCAGTAGATGCTGAGCAAGGTTGTAGCAGTAGCATAAGTACTTCATATTTTACTTAGTTGGTATTTTTTCATTGCTGTTACTGATTGGGGTGGTCTGTATTGTCCATGTTTAAAATGTGCTGAAGTCATTGCATCCCCAGCATTAGGAACAGTAAACTGCTTTCTTTTGTTCTGCTAACTGTTGAGTTCTACTAGTAGTTTGCAGATAGGAAGCTCAAGAAAAGCTGACTGTGTATTTTTGCAAGCAGAAGTGTTGGTCTAACAGAATGTTTGGTTCTGCAGCGTGCCCAAGCAGCTCTGCAAGCAGTGAATTCTGTTCAGTCTGGAAACCTAGCGCTGTCAGCCTCTGCTGCAGCAGTAGATGCAGGAATGGCGATGGCTGGCCAGAGCCCTGTCCTGAGGATCATTGTTGAGAATCTCTTCTATCCTGTCACTCTAGATGTTCTCCATCAGGTAAAAAATGTTGCCACAACTTGAAGATTGTCCTGGAGGAAGGGGTAGCAACAAATAGTGCATTGTTGTATTTGCAATATGTGTTCTAACAGCATGTAGTTTTTATCTATATAATTCAAGTTCTGAACATACCTGTCAAATTTCTGCATGCCGGAGACCCTGACACCTACACAAGATTCTTCTGGTTTTGGTCCCAGTCTGGCTAGAACTTTAATTTCCAGAGATTTGATTGCTTATCCATTTTAATTGGGTTACAGTCTGGTACAGTGCAAGGGACAAATATTTATGTTTTCAAGACAGCTCTGCAAGTTCTGTTTAGGGTTTAGCAGAAGTAGCTGTTACATGTCCTTGTGTTGAAGGTAGGGCGAAACAAATGCAATGTTGAGGAGTTATTTAGGCAGTAGCCTATTTGGAAAGTTCCTGCTGTCTGCTGTGGTTGCTTAACTTAATCTTCATGTTTAAAATGCAAGCTTGACTGCATTTAAGACTCCCTGAAATTCTTGGAAAAGTTCCAGTTTGTGAAGGTGTATGTGAATCTTCCTGTGTAAGAATTCATAACAAACAAAAACTTTATTAAGGGGGCAGTTCAGTCACCCTGATGTTTTTGTAGTCTGATGCCATGATGCGAGTTAAACAACGCCCACGGTGTAGTTTAAAACCTTAGATTTTTAAGCTGGAAAGCTAACAAGGTGAAAGGCTAACTTTTGCTGTTTCTGCTTCTAATAATGGAGATCAGTATGAAATGAACTTACTGGAAATGAGATAACAAGATACGCAAATATTATCTTGCAGATTTTTTCCAAATTTGGTACAGTCTTGAAAATAATTACATTCACGAAGAACAACCAATTTCAGGCCCTGTTACAGTATGCTGACCCAGTGAGTGCTCAGCATGCCAAACTGGTGAGTAGTATGCTTGCAGTGCTAAACACCTGCATTATTTTAAGTTTTAGGCTTGCTTTTATTAATCTAGGATCAATGTTAGAAACTAGCATTTTGGAGTATTTGGTGGTCATATTAGGTTTACGCGAGCATTGCCCTAGTGGCAGATCACATGTGCGAGTGGGAGGGAATTTCCCCACCAAGAGCAGTACGGCTAACTTGGGTGAATACTGAAGGGGATAAAATGAAGCAGTGCCTTTTCCACACAAAGCAAGATATCTGCTCCATCTGAAGACACACACTAGTACCTGGGATGATGTTAACACCTTCTCTCTTCAGAGATTTGTTGCTGTGATCTTAGTATAAATGCATCTTGGATGAAGAATGGTTTGTTTCCTTGCAGTCTTTAGACGGACAGAATATCTACAATGCCTGTTGTACGCTGCGCATAGATTTCTCAAAGCTCACAAGTCTCAATGTAAAATACAATAACGATAAGAGCAGAGATTATACACGACCAGACCTACCTTCTGGGGATAACCAGCCCTCTCTTGATCAGACCATGGCAGCTGCTTTTGGTGAGAATTCTTGAAGTGGGAGCAGGACAAATGTAACTGATAGGTGTGTCAGTTGGGGAAGGGGAGGGGACATAATCCTAGTGTATTTGGTCATACAAAATTTTGGAATACAGTGTGACTAATGAGGAAAATTTGGGAACCACTGAATCAGACTAGTGCAAAATACTAGTAGGAACATAAGGATGTGGGTGCATGCTACTGCTTTGAAAGCTCTTCACCATTTGGTTGAGGTTTTCCAGCTGTCTGTGCTTCTAGTGCCATCTGCTGTTTTGCCTACAGTATGGACTCAGCGATAATTTGGGGTGTTGTAACCTATACTTTGAAAACTGTTGTGGTTAAACAGTTACAGGAGCTACTAGCTTATATTCTGGTCAACAGCTGTATTCTAATAGCTGTTTCAGAACAGCAGAGAGGGAGGAGGAATAGTTTTTGTAATTTCTTGAAGTTCAATGTTATGTTAGAGGCATTTTTGAATTACTGTTTGTTTTAGGGTTTAGCTTTCAACTAAATGCTTATGTTGAAGGACAGATCAAGACATTCCAGCTAAGTACAGAGTTTTCTTTCTATTGGGTGTCTTTGTATAATGCATGTATCTTTCCCAGGTGCCCCAGGAATAATTTCTGCTTCTCCATATGCGGGAGCTGGCTTTCCTCCTACCTTTGCAATTCCTCAGGCTGCAGGTACTGTATTTCGTAAGTTGAAATTTTATATAGGTTTTCTATTGCTGAAGCATCTTGATGTTTTAAAGCTAAGTAGTGATTATTTTTGTTGGGGTTAGTCACGTAAATTCTAAATGCTGGCATTTAGGCACAGAAGGGAATGGTGTTTCAGTACATAATCTCAGCTAGGAATGTGAGTGTGCAGCTGTAGCACCCTGGCTAGGCAATATCCCAGTGACAAGAGGAAAATAGGAGTAGCAGGATGAGAGAGTCAGTAAAGGCAGTATTTAAAATAATTGGGGGAGGTGGGGGAGGAGATTAAATTTTTTGTATTTCAAATTTCCTTATGTGGTTGCAGAGGTTGGGAACTCACTTTGACAGCTGTAAATGTGGTCAAAAGCAAGGAATCTTTGTCCATTTTTTCCTAAATATTTTGAGTAAAACTAGAATTTAAACATGCACCTAATTACACACACTGTTACAGTTGCACTGTGAAGTCTACAGCTCATATTGCAGGTAACAAATTATTGCTACTTACAGAAGTAGCCAAGTGTCTGAGATTAAAGACTTAAGTTTTAGGTGCTAAATACACTCATTGGAGTGCTAGACTAAACAATTTTTGCTTTGTTTTTCATAGCGTACCAAGCTATGTTGTCTTTCTTGTAACTTGATGGAATTTCCTTGCTTATGACAAACAAGCACAGATCAAACTGTTCAACCATTAATGTTAGTCTCCTGTCCTGTTGGGGAAATAGATGATGCCACTTTGAGAAGTAATTTCATTTAATCGATTACTAGCAATTGTTTCTTGAACTCTAAAGCTCTTCCCTTTGGAGGGGTGATGTGAAATGCCAGATGTTACTGTGAGCAACCTAGAAATGCCTATAAATAAAATGTCAATGTTTCTCTATTCAAGAAGAGATTAGCTGATGGTAGCATACAATATCTGATTGTTATATGCATGGTTAAAGAACAAAGCATTTTTGGCATGCACTGGTTGGAAAGATCCTTACAAATGCACTGTTTGTGATACCTTTCCTGCACCAACAGAGCTGAGGCTTTGTGCTGATTCCGCTTCTTGTGAAACGTGCAAAATATTGTAGTCCACAAGATAGTGCTGAGAGGCACCTGTTAAGCACCAGGCACTGCAAGAGCAAATACTATTGGAAATTAAAACATTTCCTGCAGCACCAGAATTGGAGGCTCCTGTTGCTCTTAGAATATATGGTCACTGTGTTTTGAATGGTAACTTGCATGTTACAGAAGGCGTGCTGTTCTCCCTTCTGGTGCAGCAAATACACTAGAGTACGTGCTGTTAATTTCTTTACTGGTTAATATTCTTTAATTTCCAGGCCTGTCAGTTCCAAATGTTCATGGAGCACTAGCTCCTTTGGCTATCCCATCAGCAGCAGCTGCAGCGGCTGCAGCAGGACGGATTGCCATTCCCGGCCTCACTGGGGCAGGGAACTCTGTTCTGCTGGTTAGCAATCTGAATCCTGAGGTTAGTGGAGTCCTAACTTTACTTTTTTCTCCTTCCTGTTACTTCTGCTTTCACTTTCTGAACACAGATTATGCTGGAACTCAATGAAAGTGAAATCCTACTGTATCCTAAAGGAGACGGCAAAACTAGAAAAGCAGATGACGTGCTCTGCCAGCTCTAAAACTCAAAGCAGATCAGTACTCTAGTTGCTGAAGGGAAATGAGAAAGTCCATCTCTCAAATTAAAATCTTGCTCTTCTTTGGTTCAAAGCCAAGGATGCTGCCTGCCTGCTCTTGTCCCATAAAGACTACAATGCCTGTCCCTTGCTCCCTCTTTTATTTGGAGTCTCCCTGCCATTCCCATGGAATAGTGTCATTTGGGTCACAGAATAGTCATGTCCATTCTTTCTTTTCCTTAGCATGTTCTAGTTTTTAATACATTAATTCAGAACTACAGAGAGAGTTCATTCTGACCTTTGCTCTTTCTGTGTAGTGTCTGGACCCCTGCCAGCTTGACTTTGTACCTGTGCAGTATTTCCTCTGCCATGTGCTTGCACATTTTCCCTTTCCAAGATTCCTGGAAGTTTTTCCTTAGCTAAACCCCTTAACAGCTCACAGTTTACATTTTCAAGTCCACTTAACTTAGTGAGTTGAACTATTTGGGTTTCTTGAAAAACAAAGCAAGTAATACTTGAACAAAAATCTTCTTTAATGAAAGACAGCATCATGAGAGAATTTGATATGGGTATCTTGGATTTTTCTTCAGTCAGCTTTTGGCTCTTTGTTGGATTGAAAGTGTAGAATCTTCTAGTGTGTGCAGTAGAGTATGATGAGTCTCTGCTGAAAAACACTTTACTGGTGGGACTGTGCACACAAGTTAATACTACTTTGCAAAGCTATAAAACTTACCAGTGATGTCAGAGTAACCACAAAACCTCTTTTGCATCAAAGGGGAAGCCTGGATGTGATGAATGATCAAAATATTTAACTCTTGATGAGATGAACCAATTGAATCAGTATTTCAGACTACTCTTTTTATCTGTCATTACTATTTTCTCCAGGGCATGAAATAATGGCAGGGACTGCTGTACAGCTTTGGTTTGGATAGTTGCTCTTTCTACCTAGGAACTCCTCTGCCATTCCAGGAACTGTCATCTCTGGCTTGGTCCCAATGACTTGCTGTTCAAACAACAGTCTTAAACATTAAGAGCTGGCATCATTATTCTCAACCAGTGTGATACTGTCAAGTGCGTGTTTCTTGGGATGATTTTGCCTTGTCTGGATGGCAGTGACAGGACAAAGGACTGTGCTGTACCTCTGTTTAATTTGCACATGTTCACAGCTCTGAGCAGTGTCTGAACGGTGTGCGCAGTTCTTGTTGAAGTAGGAGCAAGCAGTTATTTCATGCCTTGTGTTTTTTGATGAGCTCTTCACTATCCATCCAGCTTATCTTTGGGCTAGAGAGACTTTGATACTTGTACTGAAGCTGTGAACTAACAGACCTGAAACTTTTTCCATTGCCTGTGTAATCAGTGTTGTAGAAACTTACCTGTGCCACAACCAGTTAGTTAAGAGACAGTATTTCTCTGGAGTGACTACTCTGCGATAATGTACAAGAGTTTTTCTGAATCGGAATCATGGAAACTGAAATTACTCCATTTTTCCTTTCCATGATGAGTGGAAGAAGTCTGCCTGTCTCAGCTTGCATTGACTTTTACTTTGAACGCAGACTTTTGTCTGCGTGCAAAGTTAGTGTTGTCACTGGGAGCAGAGATGCTTTTCCTGCCTTTCTGACTCAGTAACAGCATTTTTGGGTTTCCGCATGGTGAGGTCAAGTCACGGAGATGGAAGGGAATAGACTTCTGTTGCAAATGAGGTACCCGGTTCCTTTGTAGCAAGTGCTTCTAGCAGACCTTTGAGGTTTTTTGTAGTGGTACAGCTGCTCATCCTGATAATCTTTTGCTTTAAAAGCAGTGATTGGTATCTAAATTGGACTTTCCTTGTTTTGTTACAGCGAAGTATTGCAATATGGATTGCTTCCCGTAGTCATTAGTCCTAAAGCAGCAAATACAGCTGCGTTTTTGACTTGATCCATGAAGTCATTTCTTCTAAGAAATTCTTGTAATCGGAGAAAATACTTCTAGTCAAATTTTAGGGAATACCATTGCAATTTAATTCAATATTAAAGCCTGTAGAAGTCACTCTGTTGTGATACTGTCTCTTACTTCTTTGTATATCTTAAGTAAAAATGCCTTTTCTTTATCATTGTGTTCCACTAGGTAAAACCTATTAACTGTTTCTGTAAACAAGTTATTGTATGTAGAATTCTATAAATCTGACTGATGGAACACTACATATTTCCTTATGTATTTACTGACCTGTGTTTTTTGCTACTTTTTTCTTTTCTCCCCATCCCTGAATTTTTTTTCTTCCCCTGATCCGGAATTTCTTTGCCAACTGACTGCACGGTACTTCTGCTTCCTGTTGTTGCTTGAAACAAAAAATAAAAACATTCCCCTTCCAAAAAAAAAAAAAACCCTGCTCTTCGGAAACCAACCTGCCCTTCAATATTAACCATCTTGAAAACTTCATCATCCATCAACCAATTTCGCCATTTCCTGCGGGGACTCTGCCCTTCCTCGTTGTGGACGATTTGTGCAACCTCGCTCTCCCCTTCGATTCCTTACCTCTTCCCTGTCCCTCCGCTGCCTTGCTCTGCTGTTCTCTAAAGAGAGTTACACCCCAATGCCTCTTTATTCTTTTCGGTATGTTATTATTCACACTTTTTATTACCTTGTTTTTCATTTATTTGAGATTACTTTTTTGATACTTCAAAAATGTACAGTTTGCAGTTTGCCATTTTTTTGAATGCATAATTTCATTTTTACATTGTTTACTTAGTTTGCTATTTAATTTAGTTTGCCTTTATTTTATGTTCAGTTATGCATGGTTTATTGCTTTGCATGTCTTTTATAAGAGTTTTAAATTGTGATAGCATGCTAAATTGTCCAGTCTTCTGGCAGTAAGATTTTTGCTTTTTGCTGAAACCCAGTATCTTTTCTTTAATGTATTGTTCCATTATTATTCTGCTATATAAGAATTTTCCTTAATTAGAGCAGAATAAGTAACCATGGTTGGAATGAGATCAGTTCTGGTTGTGAATGAATGTTTTTGCTGTTGGATTGATTAGCTTAAGTTGAATGAGACTTCATTTTTTCTCCTGCCTAAGACTATTCTTGTTTCCTCACTTTTTGAAGGAGTCTATGGTGATGTGCAAAGGGTGAAGATTTTATTTAATAAGAAAGAGAATGCCCTAGTTCAGATGGCTGATGGAAACCAGGCCCAGCTTGGTAAGCAAGCTTAAAAGTATCAGACTGTTAGCATTAAGAGACCTAATGGGTAATTAAAGCTTTAATATCAGTACTTTCGTCTCTTCCAAAAAAAGACCCAAAACATGAACGTGTCCAGGCACTTAATTGCTTTGCCTGTGTATGTAGTATGGATTTGGGGCAGCTCTGGAAAAGGTATGGTTTGTTTGTGCAAGATAATCTAGAGGGAAACGAGAATAAACAATACAATAAGGCAGAGTAACAAGGCCCGTCATGCAGTTCTTGTAGGGAAGAACTAGAATGAAATTCTAGCTTTGATGTAAATGTCTGAACAAAACTGCGAAATACCATTGTAGTCAGTGCTGTCTTTAACCGTTGCAGCCATGAGCCATTTAAATGGTCAGAAGCTTCACGGGAAGCCAATCCGTATAACATTGTCCAAGCATCAGACAGTACAACTTCCCCGCGAGGGACAGGAAGACCAAGGTCTGACTAAGGACTATGGAAATTCTCCTCTACATCGTTTCAAGAAACCAGGCTCCAAAAATTTCCAAAACATCTTTCCCCCTTCTGCCACTCTTCATTTGTCCAATATTCCGTAAGTGTCCGCATGGAGAGTTCCTGTATGGCTGAGTATAAAAATGTTTGCAAATTTAGCGTGAGAGTAAATACGGTCAGCTTTTTGCTGCTAGCAGGAGGAAAGCTTGCCTTGTCTTCCTGTTGTTCCTCATAGCCTTTCCAGTCCAAGAAGCTACTGGTAGAGAATTTAGAAAAGGCTCTGATGAGAATTGGTTTTTAGAGATTAATTTAGTCTGTCAACGTACATTTGACTGGAAAACTATTTGTTTCAGACCTTCAATAACTGAAGAAGACCTTAAGATGTTATTTTCAGGCAATGGTGGGATGGTCAAAGGATTCAAATTCTTCCAGTAAGTGTTTTCTCTTACGTCCTGTCCTTACACTGGGCTTTTCAGTATGGGAAGGGTTAGAAGCACTTAGTTCTGATGGAATTCCAACTGAGGCTAAGTGAAAGGTGAGCAGAGTCATCACTAATGTAGTATTTGACTATCTGGATTAAAGAATTCCAGAATAACCCTGGACTGAGTGCATGGTGAGTATGAGTTAATGAAGAAAACTAAGGTAGCTGAGTGGGAAGCTTGGATATGCATGTTTATCGTATAGATATACTCTTCCATGTAAGAAAAAAGTATGTTGCAATTACCCGGGTGGTTAATTTCCTGCTGGCCTTGTTGAGTGCTAGGTAAGAAGACTTGCATTGAGTTAGGCAAACTCTGCGTACGGTTGTACTGAATGTGACTTAAACTTCTGTCTTGTCAGGAAGGACCGCAAAATGGCTCTGATCCAGATGGGCTCTGTGGAAGAAGCCATTCAATCACTCATTGACCTCCATAATCATGACCTGGGTGAGAATCATCACCTGCGCGTGTCCTTCTCGAAGTCCACCATTTAAAGCTTTGGAAGGCGTGAGACAAAATGGACTTGACTTAAAACCTCTTGGGTTCAGCCTTGACCTTAAAAGGCTGAACACTAGGGTTTCAACTTCCATCATTCCAGAAAAAAAGCCACTTTAAAAATGCAGCTGAAGTGACCTTAAAAGACCAGAGATTTTATTTTTTTAAAGAGAAATCAGTTTACCGGTTTTTAAAAAAAAAAAATTAAATCTAATTCATATTGCTAACCTTGCGGTGATGGGTAACAATCTTGACTGTTCAAATAAAAATCACAAGTTAAAGTTTACACTTTGGAACCTGCTCTGGGAAGTTCCCCTCCCCTCCTGCTCCTTCTCCCCCCAAAAAGCAGATCCTAACAAGTTTATCAGGTTTCACATTGATGCCTTTTTTATTTTCTTTACCCATCCATGCCTTGAAAGACCTAAAACCACTGTGTAAATTCACTTTAGCGCCTTTGAGTCAGGATTTTGTAAAATGCATGGTGTATAGGAGCTCCCAACTCACCCAGCACAAAAATAAGTTGCATTGATCCTACCTTAACTGTGCATCTGCTATCCTGTGCCTTAAACCTTTTACTTCTTTGGGGAAAACATCTGAACTGTAGGGAGTGGATTGGGAGAGTTGAGGGGAATGAGTGAGCTCTGGCTTACTGGATGAGCTTGTTGTAGTGAAGGACAAGTGAAGCTGGCAAAGTGGATAAAGAAAATATTGGGCTTTGACTCTTCAGGCAGTTGTATCCCACTGTCCGTGAAATGTCTCAATCTGCATAGTATCATGTGTCTTCATGCCACTTTCCAATCTGTTTGTGGTTTACCACCACCTGCAAACCTTCAAGTGGGAGTTATTTAAGATCCTTTGTCCGTAACATTCAGACTAAGCAGAAAGGTCTGGGTGGGGAAGCGTTCCCAAGACCAAATTACATTCCATTGTCAATAGCAAGTCAACAGGCTCTGCCCTTCACAAGAGATCAAGATACAAAATTAACCACTGTTGGACGCTTGTGAAGACGAATCATTAAGAGTTTGTCAAAATTGTGTGTGTGTATATATATATCTAAATACTTGGCTAGGATTTGAAGAATTATTGGATATCCCACATTTAGAAAGGTGTTCATGTGAGTCACCTTCGTGCCCCTAATTTGAGATTAACAAGACCAATGTAGCTCTGCCATCATTCTTATAGCATGTCTTCAGCATTTGAGCTTTTTGTTTTAATTCTTGTATTATACTTTTTGATGCCGTTGCTGTCATCTGTGCCTAGCAATATTTCCAGTTGACCAAATATTCTAATCTCTTTATATGCAAAAGAAATAGTTTAAGTACCTTTTTATAGAATGATAAGATGGTATAAACGTAATCTAAATTTACTCCTTTGTGGTATTACCCTTGTATACTGTACTTATTTTTTTTTTTTGTAATTGAAACTGTAGGGCAGGAATTTAGTTATCAGGCTGAGGTCATGACTGAGGATGAGTAATGTAATGAAATTGATAAAACACGTTAAGCAAAGCAGATTTTTAAAGCAAAGTGTTTGAGATGACAAGCACAAATAGCTTGTGAATTTAAGTAAAAGGACCCAGGCTAAAGTTTTTACCTTTTTAACCTGTAAGCCCAGATCTTTTTAAGTTATAGGAAGGGAATTTATTAAAAGTAGAATGCAGCAGATCGTTTTTTCCCAATGATACAACCATGTATATTTTTTTTTCTGGCTTACAGCTCTTTCCCGGGCCATTCTGCCTTCTATTTTGTGTAATCCGATGTTGCCTTACATTTTCCTCTAACCTGCAACCTGTTCGGATGCAAAATAACAAGAATCTTGTACTTTTTTTCAGGGTTTTTCTGCAAATTGTGGACCAAAGTTTGTTTTTTAATTGTCTTAGTGTTGCAAGTTACGATTTCCTTGCTTAGTGTGGGAGCTCTTGACTTGCCTAGCACTGAGTGTTTGGAAAAGTCTTAACTTTTCTTAGTTCCTCCCTGAACTCCTGAGGATGTGAATTATGCTGGAGAAGTGTGTGAAGTCTGAGTGAGGGTTCAGCTTGGGTTGCTGGCATGGGATTGGTAATCCTTGTCTGCCTTAGTCTTCGGCTTGTGGCTGAGGAGTGTGAAACCATCTTCAATGAAAGCATTGCCCCACTTGAGCTGAGAAAACTTTAGCTGATGAGTAGACACTGGTTTCAGTTACCTCTAAATCTGAGTAAGCCTGTTAATGAAGCCGCGTGATCTGCCTCTCTGGAAAGCTCCATGTTTCCTTGCCAGCATCTTAATGTCCAGGAGGGCAAATTCAGGTGTCTTGGTAGTTGTTGTCACAGTTAATTTGCTCATCTCCCTTCCTCCTGAAGTGAAAAATCCGCTCCTCCTGCAGCCAGGGAGCACTGGTGGTTGGGCTGGTGCTCCCGAGTATGCCACAGGCAGCACTCCACCTTGTGAGGATCCGTGCGCAACCCAAGTGGAACAGCTGTGGTTTAACCTTTAAATGCGTTCAATCAACCTCACCCAAGACACTGGGAAGAGGCTTATTGGAATGAAACCTGTCTGGTGGCCTTTAACATTGATTTGGTCAACCCACAGGCTATATATATTTTGCAAAATGCAAGCAAATGAATTGAGGTAACCCCGGAACCCAGGCAATTGTGGGTTTTTCCTTTGGATCCCTGTGTTTGCATGTAAAGAATGTGAGTAACAAAAGGGTGTACATATTTATAATTTTTTTATACCTGTTGTAAGACATGAGGGGGCAGCAAAACCCAGTTTTTTATGGTGAACAGATGTATTGTATATTTTGATAACAGCTATTACAGGTTCAGTATTGTGGAAGGTGGGGTGGGGAGGGTAAGCATACACAACATCAGAATTCCATTGCCTCTTTCAAAGAATGTTTGTAATGCAAAAAGAAATGAAATTAAAACTATTTTATAACAACCTTTGTACCTTTCTGTAGCTCCATTATTTACTGTTCAGATTGTAGAAAGCAGTTATTGGCCAGTCTGTACTTGTGCTTTCAATAAATTTCTTCTGTATTCTTTGCTTCTGATTTTCCTATCTTTTTATTGTGCCTATTTTGCTTCTGATTTTTCCTTCTAATGTAATTTCAGCTGCCTCATTTTATATAACTTTGACTCTTCACATACCTCTGGGCTGGCAGAGTGTTTGTCCCTGTTAGCGTCTCTGTGCAGGCTGAGCTGGCAGGGGTGGCTGTAACGCGGATCCGTTCCAGCTGCTCATGCTCCAGCCCTTTGGCGCTTGAACGAGGTTCAGAGGTATGAGGTTGTAGGGCCTTAACTGATGCTCTGCCTTTGTCACACTCCAACACTTTTTTTACTTCATGTTCCTAAACTTTCCATATATTCTAGCTAATATCCATGAAATAACCCACTTCCAAGTCAAATATGTAATACTCTCTGTAGTTTTGTGCTTTAGATGTGTCAAAGCTTTCTGGCTAGCTGGATGTAGTGCAGTCTGACATCCAGTGCGAGCAGGTGAGATTCCTGTTTCAACTCCTGTAGAAGTGGTGCAAAGGACTATTTCGGTTCTTTTGGGTTACTCTAATGTACAAATACTCCAGCTGTGTTGGGCACACCTGGGTGCTGATACGCTCACTGCGGAGCAGGGCTTTTCGTTAGAGGTTTGGTTTCTTACCTGTGTGCTCAACTCCTTTCTGAAAGTAAATGTTCCCTGACGTAGATGTCGGGGTGCACTCGGATACCACGGAGGTAGCCTGAGGTTTCAGGTACGGCATTCCCAAAGCTTTATTTTGAAGGGAAGCAGTGGGAGCAGGTGCTCACAGGGAAATGACAAAGAACTCTATGGGGAGTGGGAAAGCGGCCGGATGGGTCCCTCGGTAGGGAATGGCGGGGTGCGCTCCCCCGGGGCAGAGCCCCTTGCAGGCTGGCAGCCAGCACGCTGTGCCGCTGGCTTCCCGCAGGCTCGGTGTTGAGCTGCAGATCTCTCGGACAGAAACGAGGGGTGCAGCGCTGCAGTGCTGTACCTCGTCCCAGCAGCCGTGAGCTGGGAGCGCTGGTGCATGTGGGTAGGCACCCGATGTTTTCAGGGATAGGAAAGAATAAATGTACTGAGCTGTTGCTTCTGGGGCTCTGCTGTTTTTTGTCCTTTTGCGTTGAGCACATTAGCATTAAACACGAGCTTATTTCATAGGCATCTGAGTACAGACTTCAGCCTCCAAGGCTGAGCGGGGTCCTGCAGGAGCCTCGGGCTGCTGAAAGGGATCACTGTTGTTCCTTGAAAGTGTAATAGGATTTGTAACAGCTGCCTCTTCCCTCGCCTGTCTCGATGCTTGTGTGAAAGTAATGCTGAGCTGTATGCATCGCTGCCCCGCAGGAATGAGCGAGTTAATTGCTCCTGGTTTGGTTCAGCAAGTCCTCCGGTTACAAGGTGCATAGCCCACGCAATGTCAAAGGCTTGGGGCGTTCAAACCAGCATCCTGCTGTTCCTGTTTGATTTTCCTAGATAAGGTTGGTGGTCGTTAATGCCAGGAAGGTTGTTGCAACCTGATCTTCCACAAAGGTGACCTGAGCATCTGTGGCATCTCCTGCCCTACCTCAGGCTTGTACAGGAGCCTGCTGCTGTCCTGGGCCAGGCAGCTCTTGGTGCTCCGGTAGATTCATGGAAATGTGGTAAAGTTACGGGCAGCGATCTCTGCATTTACTGCTCCTTCTAGTGAAAATCAGGCAGCGTAGCAGAAAAACCAGGCAATGGTGCCCTCTGAAAGGCACGAGGCCCGCAGCACCGTCCTCCGCCCTGCGAGGCGGCTTCCCAGTGCCCATCCCTGTCCCTCTCGGACAAGTACTGAATTGCTAATTAGCTGCCTGGTGCAGTAATTATGGCCTCCCAGCTCTTGCTGCAGGCAAAGCAAATATCGATCGTGGGGTGCGTGCACGTGATGGGCTGCGTCGCCATGGAAATGGCTGCCTGGCGGGAGGACGGATCCTGCCCGTGGCTCTGCCATCCCATCCCTTCCCTGGTGGGGCCCAGCATGGCACGGGGATGGGGATGTTCCCCAAACCCTCCGCATCCTCCTGTAGCCGCCATGCCCACAGGAGGGTGCGGGGATGTGGCAGAGCCCACCTCCAGGTGCTGGAGGGAAAGCACCCACC